ATACCGCGTTGTCAAGAAATTTCCACCGGCAAGTTGGTTGATCACACATTGATTGGTAGTATTGATCCCCCTATAGAAAGTTTATTGAATCATAGCCTCCGTCATGTCATTATTTGGGTACTCTCTCACTATAGTTCGATACATCTCCCATATTTCATGCAACGATCATTGGGTTCTTTTTTGAATTCTAGTATCTCTTCTCTAAGAGTAGCCATATGCCCAGGAGAAAAAAACTTGGAAATAAATCTCTCCTCCAATTCATCCCATGTATGGATGGAATGGTTTGGCAATCTCTTTAACCAATCCAAGGCTTTCCCCTGTAGAGAGAAAGGAAATAGCCTCAACCTTAAAGCATCCTCGGAGACGTTTGTCTATTTACTCCCCCAACAAGTGTCCACAAACCCCTTCAAGTGGTTGTCTGCATTTTGACTCAGAGCCCCGTTGAAGAATGCACGTTGCTCTAGCAATGCGAGCATGACATGTGTGATTTGAAAGTTTCCCGCCTAATGTGGGGAGGGACTATGGCACTTTCATATCCTTCATTTGGCAACACTCAGTATGGAGCCGCTCTTGGTGGAGGTGAGGTGTGGATTTGGGACGTTGTCTTGAGGCTGTCGGCCTCTTCTATTTGCTTGAGGTTCAAGAGGATCCTTTTCAACTTAGTTGTCCTCAACGTCCACATACCTCATAGGCATGTTTCCGAGTGGATCACTGTTGAGAGTCATTGTTTCACCCACAATTGTTTCACAAAAAAGATTAGTAACACGGAAGGAAAAAAAGACAATTCACACACAAAAACAAATATATAGCTAAATCCATTTTTGTAGCTCCCCGACAACAGTGCCAAAAATTGATATTATCCAAGTCGCACCTCTATTTGAGGTTATGAAATGGTCGATGCAATAGTAATACCCAATAGAGAGTCGAGGTTGAATTCTACAGGGAGCTATACGAATGGGATTTAGAGCTATATATTATGCTGAATGAGCTTGACCTATCTTAAATTACACTTCCACAAAATTGGTTGATTCTAGGTCTAGTTTAAACTAAGATTGCAAGATAAATAATTGAAACTAAGAAATTATTTTAGTTGTTGTTTCCAAATAATGCAAAAGGCCTAGGGCTATGACTTTCACCTAGGTGTTTGCCTAACGGCTTGTAAACTTTAAAGTTTATTTTGTTGGTCGGGGTGTATTATGGCTATCAACACTCAAGTACCCACTCAATACCTCTCGGTAAGAGAGTTATTTTGCCCAATTTAACTTTCTCAAGTCCAAATGGGTATTGAACAAAACAGTTGATAAAATGCTCAAGTCGGATTTTACTATCTCTAGGTTCAACCCTTTAATTGGGACTATCAATCTCTTGAGTTTGTCCCAATTTCTTGTTAGCCAAGTTTTCCTAGACTAAATCTCTCTTTCTCAAGTAGAGACTAAGTCAAATAGGCATGAACTAATGTTTGCAACCATTAATTCTACAATTAAAAGTAAGAACAAGGATAAATAATAAACACCCAACCATAAACAAGCCATAAATCAAATACCCATTAGGTTTACACTCAAGTGTTGGTCCATAACCCTAGTGAGAATCTAGCTACTCATAGTGGGTCCGCACATTTCTGGGTGCAGCCACGTAGGGCTCTTCTGCAGACCGCACATTTATGAGTGTGGCTGCGTAGCTGGCTTCTACAGCCATAAAATAATTATGCGGTCCACACTTCCTTTAATCTTGAATTGAGAAATCTCTAAACTTCTGTCCTTTGTTTGCTTCTGTGACTGCATATTTCATGTGCGGACCGCAATTTGCACTAGTCCTCTGACATGAATGCCTTTACAATCTGTGCCTGCAGATGGTAATCTGCGACCGCAAATGTAATATGCGGTCCACACTTGAGTTTATGTGCCTGATTTTGTCCTTAAGTTCAGATCATTCCTTCTTGAGTTGTATTTCATCTAGTGGGTCATTTTCCAATACTCCTATAATTAAGCATATTTTATCAGTTTTCGGGAATACAATTAAATGCTTTTGGACTAAAACGAAAGTTAAAAGGCGCTAATAAGTAGTCAAAATCCCCAGTTATCACCATGCTCTTTTGAAGAAGCAAGAGTTATATCCATCTACTCCAGGGGCTTTATCTTCATGTAATGCACACAGTGCTGCATATATCTCTTCCTATGTTACTTCCTTACATAAGCTCAATTGTTGTTCATGAGTAAGCTTAGATCCATTTTTCATAATTTCCTTGTTGATAACAGGCAAAGATGCAGCAGCAGTTCCCATCAAGCTCTTATAAAATTTAATTATCTCCTCCTTAACACTAGTAGGAGTAGTCTGTTTCTTTCCATCATCAGTGTAGATCAATAGTATCTACTTTCTTTGACTTCTCTCTTTCATGACAGCAGAGAAGTACTTAGTGTTGGAATCTCCTAGCTTGATCCATTTCGCTCTAGCCTTTTGTTTGAGGATACTTTCCTTAATAAGTGACTATTTCTCCAAGTTCTGTAGGATAGTCTTCTCTCGTAGTAGCAGATTGTCTGAATATTGTAGCCTCGTTTCCTCCTGAACTTGAATACGGTCAGCCCTGGTATTTTCAATTCTCTCAACAATGCCCTTATACTCAGTAGTATTAAGTCTTTTGAATTGAGGTTTCAAAGCTTTCAGTTTCTTCCAAATGTTCTCCATTTGATCATTAGCTTCCTTTCTTCTCCATAGATTGCAAAACAATTGTATTAAACTCATCATAGGAAGCCCATACATTAAAAAACCTAAAGGGAGTTCTAATGTTGAGTTTCACATTTTTTATATTGACAAGCATTGGTGAGTGGTTAGAGATTAAATGTATATCATATTCTGTGTGCACATGACCCAAGTTCATCATCTAATTATCATTGCCAAAGATCCTTTCAATTTTGCTCACAATCCTTTTAGCCCATTGTTGATTATTGGACCAGGTATAGTAGTCTCCTTTCCATGGTACTTCATTTAGCAGCAAATTGTGTATGTAATTAGAAAAGTCAGTTATTTCATTCAGTATCACAGGGTTGCCATACATCTTGTCTTGTGTATATAACATAGCATTAAAATCACCACCTATCAGCCACAATTTGTTTGTTTGTGCAAAGATATCAGCCAGACTTGTCCATAGCTCCTTTCTCTGATCAAGTGTATTGAATCCATATACCAATGTTATATATGATTCAAATCCATCTAAATTTCCTTTAACTAGGCAGTGTATAATCTGAGCCTCTACTTTTTCAACATCAACACTATACGCATTTGGATCCCACGTGAACCATATTCTGCTATTCACAACTTTCTGGTAGTTACACTACAATGCACATCCTGGTAATATGTTTTTAATAACTCTCATCATATTTGGTTCTTTGACTCTTGTCTCAAGCAATCCAACTAGTTTAATATGTTTATTCTTTATGTATGTTAATAGCTCTTTCTACTTGTATCTCTTGTTTACATCCCTAATGTTCCACACCAACCAAGTCATTGAGATAGGGAGGGAGGCCAACTCTCTGAAGTAGGCAGGTTATTATTACTCCTTAATCCATTTGTTATCTCTGAAGTTCTATTGTTCCTATGTATACTAGATGCCAGAACTGGAAATTCTCTGGGACAACTAAGTTTGGGACTTTTATGCTCTTGCTCCTCCCCTCGGATGCTTTCCTTAGCAGGTCCTATAATGCTCATCTGGTCCTCCCTGGCAAGCAATTTCATCTTCCTCTATCCAATTTCCTGTTGATAATGCTCATCAGATGTGGCTTTGACAGTCACCATAACCCTAGTTGCCTTATCAGTCTTGTCAATAACCACTTTTGTTCTCCACTCATGTATCACCTTTGGAGGTCCAACATCTGTATGTGCTGGCTAGTTGGCATTTTCTCTTGGTCTTCTCCTTCTCCTTGGCTGCATAAAGGTCTGATCCTCAACTTCTTTTTGCTTGCAGTGGTGATCTATTATGAAGCAAACCTCACAAAATTCTGGTTTCCAATCGTATTCAATCGATTATTCAAATTGTCTCCCATCTGGTTCCCATACTACGACACTAGTATGAAGTGGCCTTGTAACATTTATTTCAATGAGCATGCGAGCATAGGAAATCCTTTTCTGTTTTGAGGTACACTCATCAGTATACAATAGTTCCTATTGTACTGGCAATCCTATTCAGTGATTATCCTCCCTAACAACTCATGGGTAGGTTTGGCAATACCATCCACAGGGGAATTTCCTGCAGGAACTCCTTTGTGAAATCAAAATTAACAGTCCTTGGCTTCAATATCATTGATTGTTATTGATTGTATAAGGCCCAAAATATAAGATTTTATGCATGTCACTTGTAGACTGAAATTTGATAACATAATATCCTTCCTCGTGGTAAAATACCTTTGGTTCAGTTACTCGATTCCAACTCTATTTCACAAACCTATGCATATAGTTATATCCCGGTGTCTCTCCAATTACATACACAATCAGTGCACTCTTCCATTTTTGGATTTCTCTATCAACATCATCCTTTTCCAGTTGAACTACAACTTTCCCCTCAACAATTGCAGGAGGAATGTAATATAGTTTTAAACCATTTTCAGAACTACGATTACCTGCAAAGAGGGATATCCGTGCAATTGGCTTCTCCTTGTTCTCAATTGTTGGTTCCAGATCTGGGATGCCCTTACTTGTACTCGCCTGATCTGTTGCCTTCACTGGTGTAATCTCCTTTCGCACGCTTAGAGATAGGCTAGTGCTCAAGTCCAGTCTCTTAGCGGTCTGCTGCACAGTTGATTCCACTTGTTTCTGCTTTAAATTTAACTCAATCAATAAAACAGGAGTAGTCACCGGTTGTGTCAACTTTGGTTTTTTCGGTTTCATGTGAGCTTAAGCTGATTGACCTATAGTAGCTAATGGTTGCAACCTAGGTCGTCCACAAGCTCCACCTCTTCCACTAGCCATAACCACGGTGGACATACGTTTAACTAAAGTGCGCTGAGGGCATGGGAGCTAGTGAGAGAAAGCAGACTTTTGTATCATATATAAGAAACTTCACTCCTATTATCATGATCTACATCATAATGTCAAGTCTCAAAATTTAATCAAGGACCTTATCAAGTCAATCACACAATTAATGATAACTATGATAAAAGAATATCATATGCCATATATTTTTATACCCCCTCAGTTCCAATTTATGTGAACATGTTTGACTGGGCACGGAGTTTGAGAAAAAATGAAGACTTTTGAAATTTGTAGTCTTAAACAAGTCAATAAGGGGCCCATAGTATTTTTGTGTGGTTATAAAAGATTCTCGTTAAGGGTAAAAATGTAAGTTTAAGCTAAATTGTTTTGAAATTTAAAAAGGGTCTTCTTTTAGGAACAGACCAAAAAGTAAATAGGTTCACATAAACTTGAACGGAGGAAGTATCAAATAACGTTCATAAAAATAAGTTCAAATCATCAAATATGATCTAGGCATATCTATTGTATCCCTAGCAGACACAATCTCAATGTTGGATATTCAAGTGTTTAAACTAAGTTGGAAGAATTTTCTTATTTGTTTTTTAAGCTAATTGAGAATCAGAAATTAATGCTGCATACACCCTAAAACTGTGTTATTTCATTGAATTAGAATTTGAAAAGTACGTCTATTTATTGCAGACGAAACTTTCAAAAGGATAGAGCACAACTGCACCGAGAGATGGTAATCGCGGCGTAGGACTGTAGTTGGAAAGTATCTCCATCAACTAGAAATTTTGATGTTTCCTTTTCATCCTTTATACTTTGTGAGAATACATCCCAGCCCTCTACCAAGAGCCAAAAAACATCAACATTTGAAAAGTTATCACAAGCACGAAAAGAAAAGAAAAACAAGCAAGAAATAGTAAACAAATTCACCACATAAATCAAGAAAAACACATGACAGAATACATGACACTGACTATCGTTAGCTAATGGTGTTATATATATAAGCTGCAATTCTAAGTACCAAAATCTTAATTTCATTATATTTCGTCGCTACAACAAAAAGTGGATCTCTCCTGGTATTCGCTTCTAATTCTTCTGCTTGTTTCCATTTTCTTCCTTCATCAGTGGTTCTTTACTACTACAAACACCCAAAATAAGTTACCACCATCTCCAAAAGGGCTGCTAATCATTGGAAATTTGCATCAACTTGGGTCGCATCCTCATCATTCTCTGCATAAACTATCAGAAAAACATGGTCCAGTAATGCTACTTCACTTGGGCAGTAGGCCAGTGGTTGTTGCTTCCTCTGTTGATTCTGCTCGTGATATCATGAAAACCCACGATCTCGTCTGGTCAAGCAGACCTAAATCCAGCATTGCTGATAGACTATTTTATGGCTCCAAAGATATAGCCTTCAGTCCTTATGGTGAATATTGGAGGCAAGTTAGAAGTGTAACTGTGCTTCACCTTCTCAGCAACAGAAGAGTACAATCTTACCGTAATGTCAGAGACGAAGAAACACAGAGCATGATTGCCAAAATCAGGCAAGTGTGTGAATCGTCTTCGAATTCAGTGATAGATTTGAGAGATCTTTTCTGTTCTATGACTAACAACATAATTAGCAGAGTGGCCTTAGGGAAGAAATATAATGAAGGGGAAAGTGGAATAAATGCCAAGACCACCCTAGATGAAATTGTGAAACTTGTAGATGCGTCCAACGTCGGGGAATATATTCCGTGGCTTGAATGGTTCAATAAAATTAGTGGTCTTGACACCAAAGTGGAGAAAGCAGCAAAAGAGTTGGACACATTTTTGGAGAGTGTGATTGAAGAACATGTCAGAAAAGGAGAGTACAGTGCGGGGGAAGCTAAAGACTTCGTGGACATTTTGTTGGAAATTCAGAATGGAGATAAAACAGGCTATCCTCTTCAAAGGGATTCATTGAAAGCTATTCTCTTGGTAAGCCTCTCGTACTTCCACATGGAATATTTCTTTTTTTGTGTGCGCGCATGAAAACATTAAAATCTTACAAAGCATTAATTCTAAACTCATAATTTCAAAAGTATAATATATTCAAGAGATAATTTTATCCATGGTCATTGAACTTTTGTATTTATTACCCAAAAGTCATTTTTTTTTTACGTAAAAATCATTCAACTTTATGTTCATTACAAAAAAGTCACTACTCTTTCTTTTGTTACACAAAAATTATTTTACTTTGCTCTAGTTATCACAAAAATAGCGTTTTTACTTGAAAAGTCTATTATGTCCTTGATATTATATAAACCTTCATATTTATGTAATACCTTCTATATTATACACTATATAATATATTTTTAATTATGTATTTTATTTATAAATAAAATAACTTAACATTATTTTTATAAAATATTCGTATATTTTATTTTCTTTTTTAACTTTAATTTTCAAGATATATTAGTAGCATTATAAAATAACTTTTTTTAATTTAATTGACCAACCAAAGTTGGTCGGTAATTTCTGACCAACTTTGATCGGTATTCTCTTACGACCTTCAAAATACCGACCACACGTTAATGGTCGCATTTTGGATGATTATCGGCCATTACCGACCAACTTTGGTCAATTCTTTTGACAGTTTTTCCCGAATTTCTAGTAATGTAATTTTTCAAATAACAATTGCCCAGGTAAATCCCCAAAAAATATCCTCAGGTAAATTCGCATATAGTACCTAGGGATTTTCCTTCAGATTAACATATGATTTTTTCCTCATTTTCTTTGTTTGTTTACCTGCGAACTTTCTCAAGAAAATATACTTGCTATTTCTCTACTAATATATATTAAAGTTATTGACAAACTTAATAACGCTACTAATATATTTTGAAAATTAACATTAAGAAAAAAATCAAATTAACAAATATATTATAAAAATAATAAATAAATTAATATTAAGTTATTTTATTTTTAAATAAAATGCATAGTTAAAAATATATTATATAGTATATAATATAGAAGGTATTACATAAATATGAAGATTTATATAATATCAAGGGCATAATAGACTTTTCAAGTAAAAATGTGATTTCTGTGATAACTAGAGCAAAGTAAAAATAATTTTTGTGTAACAAAAGAAAGAAAAGTGACTTTTGTGTAATGAACACAAAATTGAATGACTTTTACGTAACAAAAAAAAAAAGTGACTTTTGAATTACAAACACAAAAGTTCAATAACCATAGATAAAATTATCTCTATATTCAACCATCAAGTCCAAATCCCGAACTCGGATAGTTGACCCATAGGCCTTAAGAACATGACATGCATATTTTATGCCTTTTTTCCCTTCCTATGTCTGTTGTGTTTTTTTAAGAACTAGTTTGTTTGTACGCATGTTGCAATTGTATTTTGTATTAATTAGTATAATTTTTTGTCATTACATTTTTTACTATATCTTTTTACTCGTGATCTCTAATAGGTACGTTAATACCTTTTTTGAGAAAGGAGAAAAGATACTGATGAAATAAAAACAATATGATGAAATTTGAAGTTAATTATAAGTGATCTCTAAAATTAATCTGGAAACGAAAATACTTAATGTTGGTGATGGGTCTTTTCCATTCTTTTGCTTCTTCTTCTTTCTTCATCACTGCTTCCTCCTTATCCTCCTTTATGAGGGTACTTATTTACAAACCATGTCATGATTTGACATGGTTCTTGGAGGGAAGGATGTCGGGGGTCTATTTGGAAATAGCCTCTCTATCTCAGGGTAGGGATAAAGTTTGTGTACACATTACCCTCCCTAGACCCCACTAAATAGGATTATATTGGGTTGTTGTTATTGTTATTGTTGTTGTCATGATTTGATTTTCATAAAAGGAGGAGACTGTTTATAAAATACAAAAATTAAGGATAATAAGAGCACATATTAAGTGAAAAACAAACTGACAGTGGATGAACCTTCCCCAACATGTGTACATACCTAGAGGCTAGAGGTACTCTAGGAGAGAGCAAAGCAGTGAGCGCATGGAGTACGACGAACCTAGCCCATTAGCTAAAGGGTTCGATTGAACCTAGTAGCTTTGGTTCAATCTTGTATTTATTAAAAAAAATATATTAAATATGCACTAATTATTAATATAGAACTCAGTAACTTAAAAGGATTAGAATCATGACCTCATAAAATTTAAATTCTAACTCCGCCTCTTATAGAGTATATATATACCATGCTCTTCTGAAAAGGAATGATATATCAAGCATGCAAAGGCAGAAGCATTGAATATGATTGCTTCCAGCTTTTCAGTCATTACGGGCCAACCAGCTTGTTGTAAAGAATGAAATCTCCAAAAACGCAACTATTAGCTAGTATATCAAAAGCATGTAGATGAATCCCATATCTTATTTTTGTAGATGAATCTGAATAAGATTGTTTTATCAATTGCAACTATTCAGATTCTTCTATTTATGATTAGAGAATTAACATTGGTAAATATACCCGTTTAGGAAGAAATGATTTAGTTTTCATCGTTTTATGAATTGCAACTATTCAAACTATTCAGTTTTGGGGAGTTACGAAGACACATACCCATTTCATAGTTTTCTTAAAGACGTTAAAGTCCATCACTTTTCAAGGCTAATTTTGTCGAAGTAATATTTAAGTGAAGGGTAAAATGGGCATTTAATTATTTATGGGTATTTTGAGTCTTTTAACTTTTTACTTCATTTGTTCCCGCTTTTAATGTAGTATGATATGACCATTGAAATTTTGAATTGTATTAGTATTGCTCCATAATTAAAGATTTGGTGTCTTAAAATATTTGTTTTAGTATTTTCTTCAAATTTTTTTAAATCAGTGAATGTGAAACTGCACCAACTGTTCTAATGCTTCATCCACCCATGGTTAGCAACTGCAATTCTAATATTGGAAACTCTAGATGCTTCAAAGGACTAAATTTTGAGCTGATTCCCTTTGGAGCAGGCAGAAGGGGTTGCCCAGGAATTACTTTTGCTATTATTGTAAATGAGCTAGCATTAGAAAGGCTTGTGCACAAGTTCAATTTTGCATTACCAGAAAGGATGAAAGGGGAGGATTTGGATATGACTGAAGGCACTGGCATCACTATTCGTAGGCAATCACCTTTGCTAGCAGTGATTACTCCTTGCTCTACTTAGGAGCAGTTTCTGAAATATTCGCCCATATTGAATACTCCAGAGATATGAAGAATAAGAGCTCTAAAATAATGTTGTAATAAAAATATGATAATAAAGCTGTGTGATATATGCTTCCGAGAACAATGTAAAAGAGAAAAGGCCAAATACATAGGGAGGAGCCCCTTAAACTTGACACTATTTTTCATTTAGGCACTTTAACTAAGGTATGTACCTATTGAACACTCTAACCTCAACAAAAGTGAGCCACTAAAACACAATAGGATGATATGGCAAGAAAAGTATTTTTCACATCTCCTGAGCGCGCGAGTTGATCCAAACACAAAAGTTTTTTCTTTTTTTTTAAAGATCATTTTTTCCTGAAAATCACTTCACCAACTTTAATCTCTAAGCCACCTTTAACCATCGCCAAAGAAATCACGTATCATCTCACTTGGAGCCATTGCGGGCAATTATTGCCGACAAGCTTAACGTTCATATTGATCTCAACTTCTATTGTTTAGCTCTAACAACCTTACACAAACTAAAGACCACTCTTTTTCAACCCAAAAATGCCACCTTCAACCAGATTTTTACATTGGCGCCCTAGTCAACTCAGTCAAGTGAAATCACATCACTTATTTCCTATCTTATGAAAACTTTGATTCTTTACGTATCAAATATTTACAGTTTTGAGTGGCCTTAATGTTACTGTGTAATTCCTGGTCGTGATAGTGACAGGTGTTATTTTGTATTGTTATCATATCACCGCCAATATTTTAAAAGAATTAAATTAAAATCAGTAGAAGACTAAAATAGCAATTGAGCTTAATTTTTTACCAAACAAAAATGGAAAATAAGTGTTAGGGTGATGAATGTGATCAAGAAAAAGGGAAATGGGTATTCTGTTTTGAGAATAAATCCCCCACAATTATTCACGGTACTAAAAGCTAAATAATAATGTAGCACCGAGATACGCTAATTAACAAGAATAAAAGAGTGACAACAACATCAAGATTTTTTACGTGGAAAACCCTTCTGAATAAGGAAAAAACCACAGTCCCGAGACGAGCAACTGATACCACTATAGCAAGGAATTTTACACTTTGTAGGTCCGAGTAAAATACTCCAAAGGCCACTACAACACTCAAAAGAAATAACCCTCTTTTGATATTCTCACCTCACTACAATATCACTCACTCTCTTATTTTTCTCACAGACTATTTTCTTATACCTTGTATGTGAAACCTCACTCTTTTTTTCTCTCTTTGTTGGTATGTAGAAATAAGAGCCGAAGATTTCCTTTTATAGGCGGAGCCTCTCTCTCTCTCACGCCTACTACATTTGACATTTTCCTTCTGCAGCATACCCTTTTTGACAATGCAGAAGAAAAGAGTAGCTGCCAATTTAGAAAACCATCAAAGGAAGAAAGTCTTCCTTAATTTATGGGATAGACCCCACAAATCTCCCCCTCCAGTCCCATTCACCTGAAGGAGGTAACACCGGAGATTCTAGTTTGAGCGCATGCCGACAAGTTCTTTGCAAAGCTCGAACTTGTCTCTTGGTACTACATTGGTTAGCATATCTACATGATTTTCACTCGTGTGAATCTTTTTGAACTGTAAAGATTCGTTCTCCACCTGCTCACAAATGCAATGATAACTCACATCTATATTCTTTGTTCTTGCATGGTACATGGAGTTCTTGCTCAAGTCTATTGCACTTTGACTTTCACAATAGACGACATACTCCTTTTGATGCAATTCCAGCTCTTGAAGGAACCTCTTGAGCCATACCATCTCCTTGCTAGCTTCTGTAGCGACAATGTACTCTGCTTCAGTTGTTGAAAGTGCAACACACTTCTACAAATTAGACTGCCATGATATATATC